TAATAGTTTATTTCAATTGTAAAATAACTCTAATATAGGTAAACGTTTAGTATGATTCCTAATCATTTAAACGTCTACTCCTATCATTTAGGTTTTTGTTTCGCAGGCTATTATATAGGGTATTAGTCTTTCAAAAAATCTTTCAAGCTTTCTGTTGTTCGCCCCCTGCACCAGCCATTGTAATTTCCTACTTTCGTCAATTGTAATTTCTAACTTTCAAGCAATTAATGATCAATTTACTTTCAATGCATCTCAATTTTATATTGCAAGCTTTCTATAAATTGTAATCAAATTTTCATTCGTCTCGAAACGATCGAGAGAAGGTCGAAGGTAGTCTAGCGGAGTAGACTACTGACGCACGGTGTCCCTTTCTGTGCCAAGAAGAAAAATACCCCGTGAAATTTATTTCACCCACTCAACCACCAACACTTGCCATAGCGAAAACAATTGTAGTGCTTTATGCTGCGGGGTATCATGATCGAACATCACCGAATCGACCCCAATACGAGAAAGCCATTTCGAGATCGGTAGATCATAATGGAGCACCACAAACACAATCTCAATAATTGCCAACACAGTGAAAGGAAAGCACATAAAACACATCAATTTCTTGGTTCTTGCCCAAAATGGAACATCAACCAAAAGCCCATCAAAAAGTAAGACCAAGTGAATAAAATTTTCGATACTCAAACTCATATCAGATGCATATCAATTCTCACACAATTACACTTTATTACTTTAATAATCAACCAAACAAAACCAAAAATTACAACAGCACTCTCAACTCTGAATTAAAAAAAAAATACTTCATACACTGAATTTATCAATACCAGCATCATAACTTGAAAACCACGCCGAAAACTCACAATAACAAAACCAAATATACAGAAACTTATGCACAACTGACGACTTAGCTTAAAAAATTCATAATGCAATATCAATTACCATCATCTTCCCTTGGTTGTTCGGAAGATTGATGCGCCTGACCGGATAGTGATGCAAGCAAATTGAGATGGTGCCCCTGTACTTGAGCTATGGGTAAATAATTACCAATCCTAGCAGCTGATGCCTCTCCCATTCCCAGTGGTTGTTGCTGCTGCAGAAACCTGAAGGAAGCAGAAGGCTGCTGCTGGGAAATGCTCCAAACTTGACCAAAATCCGGCCTAGTCGGCAAAGCCCAGAACCCCCCAGGAGCCACCGAGGAACCCATGTCTTCTTTGCTGAGATGAAGCTGGTGATCTTCGTCGTCCGATCGGAGCCGCTTGCCGAGAATGAAGTTGGTTGGAGTAAGCTGTGAATGAAGGACGGAGGAGTTCCGGGTGGAGGCGCAGACGGTGGCGAAACTAGCAGGGGTTGTGCCGGTTCCGGTGGCAGCTATAATCGAAGGCTCCGCGTGACGGAGAAGCCACTCGATAGTCTGTCCGTCAGACTTGTGGCCGAGTTCACGGGTGAGCTGGAAAACCCTGGCGGCGCAGATTATAGGCATGCGAATCCGGCGGCCTCGACCGTCGACTTTGCTGTGGCGGTCCTTGGCGGGAGGCTTCTTCACTTGCAAGCCACCGTTGGTTGTGGTGGCACCTCCAAGAGACGGCGGCGTCTGTCTCTGAGAAGGATCAATAACGGCAAGTCCACTACCATTACAGTCAGTTGCCGACATTGACATAGTGGTTATATGGTACACACAAAATTGTGAACTGTCCCGAATTTATTCAATTTCTGGTATAAAATAGATATGAGTAGGGTTTTGGGGAATGTAAATAAATGGAGATTGAAATGGAATTAGGGTTTCTGTTCATGGTTGAGACGGAGAGAGTAATGATTGAGGGAGGGAAGCGGCAGGAACTGGTGGAGACAGGGGAGGAGCACATGGGTGGTGGGTCCATTCTCTAAGTAGTAAGTAAGTACTAACAATTCCCAGCTCACTCGTGTCCTCTAGGTGTCGGTGTTGCTGACAATAAAATCCTCGACTAAAAAATTTAAGCTTAAAAAATAATTGTCATAATTTATAATGGTGTGTTCGATAGAGATTAAAATCAAATTAAAATTAAAAAATTGGTCGTTATTATTGACTTTTATTAGACGAGTGAGACCTAATAGCGACCATATTTTCAATTTTAATTGAATTTTAAACCCTATCAAACATGCTTTAAGTAAAACTATTTAAAATCAATAATACTTCACAACAGTCTAAGAGCATTTTCAATTATAATGTAAAATAGAGATTTAGATCATTAAAATCATCGAAAACTCTTCAATGGAAAGATAAAAAAAGGAGATATAAATTCTATTTTACATTTACAAGAGGCAAAAAATGAATTTAGATAATCTCATCGAAGTAAAATTTGAATTTAAACCCGCCAGGATGTAATTGAAGATCGAAAAATGGTTTTGGAGATGCCAATTTACACTCTCTTATACTACCATTGAAGATGCTCTAAATGACATTAGTATCACCATCTTATTGTCCAAATATTGAGATACATTTGTATTTATTGAACTATATACCCTTGTTTGGTGGCATTTAGTTCTTGTTTGATTCTCATTATTTTTAAAATATATTTTTCACTTTCTACTTTTTAATCACTCATTTTTCAATAAAATAATATTATATGCAAATCCAAAATTTTACCTTATTTTTTAATCACACATTCTCCTTCAATTACTATTAAAAAATGCATTCATTTCGACATAATAGGCTCAAACAAGCCAATAAATTTTCAAAACATAGTTTTGAATAGTATTTTTTGAAGAATATGTGATTAAAAAGTAAGAAAAAGTGTGAATATTTTATTATTTGAATGTGTGGTTGTTGAAAAAGATCTTGTAGCAAAAATTAAAATAAATTAATAATGACATTCGTCATCTACATTGATGTTAAGCCTTGTTTGGTAATGATTAAAATCATATTTTTAATAAATTTTGATAAAATTTGATAAAATGTGTATTTGAAAAGTTGTGGGTCTCGTAAAAGTGTGGTTGAATTAATTGTTGTCTTTGATTTAGATTAAAATCAAAATTTTAATCATCACCAAACAGGGATATCACCCGTGCTAATAGCATTATTCATCATTTTTATTTTGTTTTTAAAACATTCATTGACATAAAAGCGAGCGAAAATTGAATCCATGACATTTATTTCGTGTGATATTATGCTGACCCGTTAGATATAAAAGCGCCATCAAATATAGATGGCTTTATTAATAGCTTTTATAATTTTGAAAACTCTTTATCATTATTCAAAAAAAAAAAAAAATGGAGTTTTCGATCCTCATCTCGATTTGATTCATGCTCGAATTAAAACCTTAATTTGTTGGTAAACTATCGACTCAATCGAATAACCTATCTGTCGAACACCAATAAAAGTGAGCTTTTGCATCAGCTCTTTCATATCACCAAAAAAAAGGGTAAAGTAAAAGAAAACATCAAAAGTAGTGTTAAGTTTGGAGTTTTGGCAATTTGCTAAGTCGAAATTCGCGTAAACACCAAGAGCAATAAGATAAAATCTTTTTAACGGCTCAATTGGTCAGACCTTGGGTTTGCTCCCCAATGGTCACCAGTTCGAGTCTCCTCAAGGCCACTGAGGTGAGTACCCGCTCGTAAATTTCAGGGTCCCGTGGAATTAGTCGAGGTGCGCACAAGCTGGTCCGGATATCTACGGTTATTAAAAAAAAAATGCATGTTTGGCTAAATTAATACCTGAAAAAAAAATAAATCGATTTTATTTAATTCATCTCAACACCTAATTTTGTCCATATTTGACTTTGACTACTTTAAAATTCATTTTTTCAAACTCATTTTCAATTACACGTTCTAATGAAATAATTTTACATATGGGCCATAACATTTGACATCATCACATTCATTCATTTCAAGCCTAAAATATTAATTTAAGTCTTTGAATGAAGAACTTTAAACTTGAAAGCTTAATCAACTTAAGACTTAATAATTTTAAGTAGAAGATATATTTTTCTATTGTACTAAGAGGCATCCTCAACTGAGATTTTAATAAATTTATTTAAATTTGAATTCTCATATGTTTTATGGATTTCACAGTTCTATAAAATTTTAACAAAATTCTACCAGGTTTACAACAAATTTTGAGTATTAAAATACTTCAATTTTTACAAATTGAAATTTTATGAAATACAAAATAGGTTGATCATTTTGTTACTATGAAATTGCAAAATTCTTTGATTAATGATCCAAAAGTTGAAGACAAGGAGCCAAATGACTTGAATCTTCAATTTCAAGGTTTTGTTTTGATTTTCATTTGGAAAAATTACATAAAAACCTGCTTTTAAAGACTAGTTTTAAAAAATAAGGAGAATTAATTTTCATTTCACAAATCAAGTGATAATTAGAAATTATTAAATTAATTAATACAGGTTTAATAATAGAAAACATTTTATATATCCACCCTCATCCAACACAACCACCCACCCATTTAGATCAATCTTTTTCTCTTATCTACCTTCTCTGTTATAACCCCAATGCCAAATGAGAAATACTTTTTTTTGCATCAGGATTAAAGGGTTGTTTGGTAGGGATTCTCATTCTCTACAGTAAATCAATTTTCATTTTCAACTACACATTCTTCAATAAAATAATATTTTCCATCACATCAATAATTTTTTCTTCTTTTTCAACCACACATTTCCCATCATATCACTATTCAAAATCAATTCTTCCCCAAAAAAATCCCTACCAAACAAGCTCTAACATTTATGTTGTGAAACAAACCACCGAATTGAAATATTGAAGTTATATGACAAATAATAATGAAATGAAAAATGATGTAAGTACAGGAAATTTTTTACCGAATTTGTACAGATTTTTGAATTCCTCTCACATGAGGAGGTGGAGCCCACATGATTTAAATATTGTTAAAAATAATGGGACCCATGTGTTGTGTGGATTCGGTAAAAAAAATATAAAAAAAATTCTGTACCTATAGAGTGATTGTAATGAAATATATGATCAAACAAAAAAATAATAAAGATAAGAATATGACATGGGAATTAAGAGATTTTATTGACTCAAAAATAATGGAGAAGAGAGAAGAATTACAATAGACCCTATAATTCTAGTAATCTTTTTTCTCATACCATAAAATTGTATAGAAGAGCCAGTATTTATAAGAGATATGTAGGGGGTGTCCAAACCCTTCTAGTAGAGTTATTGATGAAATATGATACCAAAAAATCGAGTCCAAAACAAATTACAATTCCCAATGGGCAAACTTCAACTTGACATATGACTTCAATAACATTCCAAACTGAATTCTTCTTGATGTGCACTTTTATTAGAATTCTTCAATTACTTAACAAGGAATTCGAGTCACACTCAAATTCTAACAATCTCCACATTGACACGAAATCCACCAAGGAATGAACAACTTCTTCGACAATAACCAAAAAATTAATTTCTCCAACAAAATACAATACTCCACATCTTCTAATGAATTCAACACTACTCTGCAGAATTACCTCAAATTCCCAAAAAATTATAATGGTTTTGAATTAACCAAAAATAGGCTGTAACACACCCTAGAGTAGAATCAATACCAAATGCTTTTACAAAATGCTCCTTCCTAGATTGTACACCTTCTACTCCACTTAAAGCATACTCGACAAAATCAGCATCCACATACCTAGTTCCACTGGGTCCATCTTTAGCAACTAAATACAATGGCACTGCAGGTGATGGTGCCAAAGGACATTATCCATATCTTTTAAACTGTACTGAGCAGTATTCTTCAAATCCGACCCTTTACGAGCTCCTAAAGGTATTGTACCAAACTGAATGTCCACCACGGTACTGAACCTGTGCTATTGACTCTTCCAAATTCTGCACGTCCCTGCAAGATATATAACTGAGACATCTTTCATCCTTCCAATACAACTTGGGCACCCTTACAAACCTTCAAACCTCCACCTTCACCAAAAAACTTGTAACCCTTTAAATCAATGATAGACAACGATATGAGATTCTTCTTCAACTCTGGAACATGTCGAACCTTGTCAAGTGTTTTAATTGTCCCATCCAAAAGTTTCAATCTGATTGCACGAATTCCAGCAACCCGACAAGATGTGTTGTTTCTCATTACCACGGTACATTTGAAAACAGTTTCATATGAAGTAAACAAGTCCTTATTAGGACACATATGAAATATACATGCTGAATCAAGAATCTAATCATCTTTTGGTTTAGGTTCAAGTCAGAAATAGCTACGAGATCTCCATTACTTACAACTTTCTCCGCGAGGTCTGCTTCGCCTGAAGTATTTGAATATCTACTTACAGCCATCATTTCTTTATTCTGCAATTTGTAGCAATCCTTCTTTAAGTGTCAATTCTTCTTGCAATAGTTACAAATTGATTACTGAATTTAGATTTCGATCTACCCTTTCCAGAACTACCATGAGCAACAGACATTCTCCATCTTTGACTTCAGAAACTAGATGTTTCATCTTTTCTTTTGAATAGAAAGTATCATACACTTCTTCTATGGTGAGAGTATCACGATTATACAAGATCGTATCTCTAAATGAAGAAAACGGAGTGGGCAACGAATACAATAGAATCAGGGCCAAATCTTCTTCATCATATTCTACTTCCAAAATTTTCAAATCAAAGACGATCTCCTTAAATACACCAA